TACAAAAACTCGCTCAATGCAAATGTTGTTTTTTGCAGTTCGAATATTATGAATTATTTTTTTGTTTTTCGAGATAATAACGCTGATGGTGTAATTTAAGGAAATTCTGGAACATCCCTATCAAATTTAAATATGTTTAGACTTAGCAGTTAGAGAAACTTTATGTTAAACGTTATTACTATTAGTGTGTTAGGCCTACAGTAGTTTCATAGTTTATTTTGAAAACTTACCTCAAATAGAACATAATATGTAGCAAACGATATTAAACTTAAATGAATAAACTATTTTGTTATCGTTAAGTGGACTGGACTTGGAATTATTTTTACTAAATAATCCACCTAATGATAAAACACATTATAACACTATTATCGAATTTGCCTACAACTACTCTAACAATTTAAAAGTTATCTTTCCGGCAATTGAAAATACACTTAAGCACGCTAAAGGAATGAAGAGTATCGTACTTGGGCTGCGCCCAAACTGAGAACAATGGGAACAAATAACTTTAAAATTTGTACACAATAACTAAAACAGTAGAAAACACATAGTACTAGTTTGAGTCAGTTATTATCTGTGCTAGCTGCCACTAATATTGATTTATTTGTTTCAAGTTAAGCACAAAACTACACAATGGGCTATCTGTGCTCTGCCCACCACGGGTATAGAAACCCGGTTTCCAGCGTTGTAAGTCCGCAGACATACCATTGTGCCACTGGGGGCTCCTAATATTGAACTGATAAACTTGATGGGAAGCAGCTAATCAATACCAGCCAGAGGTGTCGGAACCGGCTCACTTTTGCATAGTTGATTTATATAACAACTGTAAAATACAATATTATGTAGTGGGGATGCTTGGCTAGACATGCAGATTTTATAATAAGAGATTGAAAGTATAAAGAGCTACTAAATGCAGCTCCCGTTCTGCTAAATGGAGATCAATTTGTATGTTACGACAGCAGAAATCACGTGACGCTATTAACACGCCACGCGCTTCTAGAACGTTCATGAAGCGTCGGGAGACT